TTTTGAATGGTAGTGTATACACCATTTGCCTTGAATACATATAAGCCCTTGACATTGTGAAGACCTGAGACATTAGCACTCACAGGATGGAGGGAGTCCTCAGCCATCTGCCTCCACCTGGTTGGTTGGGAAACACATCCTCCAAAAAGTAGTACACATGTCCCACTGCGATGCCTTTAATGGAAAGACAGAACATATAATACCAACAACAGATTAATTCATTAGTATTTAAAAATTCATATTAAAATGACAAATAATAATGAACAAAATTGGACTAATTTATTGTCAATGCAAGTATCAGCACAAGACAAGTTAATAAATCTGTGAATCCACACAAGTCTCTACCTAAAAGATCTACAATGATGGAGTTTCCCAGCAGCAGAGAGAATCCCATGAGCACCCACGGGAGGAAGGGGGCCTGGAAATTCAAAAGGCCGAAGAAATTCATGCGCACGTTTGGGTTCCTCCTGCTCCATATGTACACAAGCATGATGGTGAAAGCCTGACCTAAGAACACAAGACTCACAAACGTGCCAAATATCTGCACAGCCATTAAGAAAATCACAACCGGTATTTGAGCAAATGTAAGATGTAATGCATGTTATACATCTTGAAATCTTAAAGTGCTTATATGTTATATTGTTTTTTGTTTTTTTTAGCAAATTGGATATTTTTGACTGTTTTTACTGTTGTTTCTACAAGGTGTCTCACATGATTTTATTAAATATAGAATGAGGTTAAACATCTTTCATTATTCAGCTTCTATATTTGTCTACATCTTGAGGTTAGAGTGAGAGGTGACTCATTTTCCTCTTCTTTTCTTTCCACGGTACCACAAAACTATTATTTCATTCTGTGAACTTCTCAATAGACAGGATGATGATCTAAAGCATATTAGGCAATTATATGTTAATAGAAACATGCCTAAGTTGGAACATTGTATTCAATGCAATATGTATGATCAACATTTATTTTTTATACTGTATTTTTATTTCAAAGTTTGTCCTTTTATTTATACTTTTTTCTTTCCCTATTTATGTAATCCTTTTTTGGACTTTCATTTTTTTG